GGTTCACCAGTATACCAGTTAGTAAAGCTTGTCGTTTCTCCACTTTTCAACCAGTTAAATGACACAGAGTTATCTGTGTCATATGCGTTCAGCCAATATTCATTTGCAGCACCACAGTGATCAACAGCTATCATATAATAGAAAGAATAAAGGTAACAATGGGTAAACCTAAATATTTGTATTGTTTATTGATTTTTTTTTATCAAACATTATTCGTTTTCTTCACCTTCTTCATTCAATAAACAAGGAAAAGGTGTTAATTAAATTTGATAAGAAAAAAAATTAATCCAAAAATCAGATTTTTTAAAAAGTTAATTTTTTTTTCTTTTCCTTTTTTACAATAGTTAACGTTTTATGCTTTAATCATGAGATAATAGATTAATAATTACTTCACAATATTTCACATTACTACCATTTTAGATTCTGATCTAAGAGGGAGCACGAATAGTTTATTAATTTAAGAATAGTGTTTATAAATAAACTTAATATTTGATTTTACATTGTCAATACAAAAACTCATTATAAAAGTCAAGGTTGTAAGCAATATGTTCTTAATTTGTCTAAACTGTAAGTATTTTATATACACCGTAAAGCAAATATCAAAAAATATTCCACTCCAAACTGTTTACAATTGTGCAATATTTTAATTGAAAGAAGAATAAGTACATTATACGCAGTATTTTTAATTTGTTTTTATTTCAAAATTTTAGAATCAAACTATTTTCGTCATTTCGTCATTTTTCGTCAATTCTTTAAAAAACAGAATTATGAAAAAGATGACTTTCTTGAAAAGATAAGCTGATGCGGAAATTCTTTGTTGATCTGCAGCTACTTATAAGGGGGAAAACTATGCATTTGTAATGTTTTCAGGGCCACGGTGAAATAGGTCAAACAGAAATCAGTTTGACTTGACAGCAATAAATGAAACACTTCTTTATATCAAATTTTGTTTAAATTTTACGGATACGCAGAGCATTAAGAAATCAATCGTTTAAGCAAGAAATGTGTTTATTTTTAACACAACATCGGAGATAATTCTGAAGCATCTTAGTATATTTTTTTAAAGTCACCCTGACTGCATTTGAGTTGACATAATAATGTTAATGAAAACTTACTGAATGTAATCAGCCAGTCGTTTTCTGCTTGAGAGGTAACTTCTGTGACGTAAGATGTTGGAGACAATGAAGAACAGAATGCCTTTGGATTATGGAAAAATTAATATTAAATATTTAAACGCCAATTAGCTCACCTGATCTGAAGGTTCAAGTTCGCTTTTCTAATCACAATTTATCCGTTAACATTGTCTGGTATTAATATTGTCGTTGTATTTGTAACCTTTTTACAATTTCAACTTCTTTCCCAGAGTATCCTTTTGGTAGAGTGTATTCATTTTTTTTTCAAGTGAAAGCAAATTACAAATAAGAGGAAATACTTTTTTCAAAAATCTTTGCAAAAACTAATCGGTCAAAACATTTAAAACTTAATTGAAAGCATCCTCAGGTAGTATAGATTCAAGTTCGTTCAAAACATGACCCCCAGTGTTAGGACGAGGCTATATTTGGTGATAAAAGTTTTACAAAAGTGTACATATGGAAATTATTAAATATACAACAATACCATGATTAATCAGATTTTACATGGAAGCATCCTTTAGGTAATTCAAGTTATTCAAATCATGACCTTGTAGGGTAGAGAAGGGTTACAAATGGAGATCAAAGTTTTGCATTATGATATAAAGTAAAACTGTAATAATATTTTCAAGAACAGAAAAGCCTTGATTAAATCAAGTATATTTATATTGAAGCATTCTCGGTAAGTGTAGATTTAAGTTTGCTCAAATCAGGACTCTCGATATAGAGAGAGGCCACATTATGCGATCAAAGTATAACATACATGTAGTCTAAGGAACATTAAAAATCTTCTTTTTAAAAACAGCAAAGCCATAATTAGTCATATTAATTGAGAATTAATTGTAGATTCAAGAGTGTTCAAATCCTACCCACTCCCCCATTTTATATTTTTATTTTAATTTCTGCTTTTTTTCTACACATAGTGTTCAGGTGGGTGATGTAGTATTTACAACACGATGAAAATGAAAGAATTATATCTGATTATTCATTATCCAACAATTTTTCCTTCAATATCGATCTATTTTCATGTTATGGAGATAATTATGCTTTTACCTGTGAAGAGGAGAAGTTTCTATGCGTGTTGTCCCATTTGTACCAATGATCATTAAATTTGTGCCATATGTCGCAATCTGAGAAAAAGTCATGGGTTTGTATAATGCTAGAAGTATGTCATGACAAAATACAGATGCAAATATATATACTGTATGCTGTGCTACTTGTGTACTTTTACTCCTATTTTTTCTAACACTTTTAATTACCGGTATAGCGTGTTACAACCAACACTGTGCTTAGCAAATCTGCATAAGGAAAAATGTTATATGTATCTTCCTAATATACGTTTAGGAATATAATGATAATTTTTATTGACATGTATATATTAATTTTTACGACAAAATATATTTTTAATCCTAGATGATGTTTATTTCATGTAGCGTTATTTTTCTCCTGTCAATACTGGAATACCACTGAAATGTGATTTTGAAGAATTTCATCTTCAGAAAATGAACTGAGTCTATAAGGTGGATTTCCAGACGTAGAATTAAAACAAAGATCTAGAATATAGTTGTAATAATGAGCCTTACAAAAACGATATTGAAATACTACTGAGTCTTGTTGCTGGAACCGTATAATATTGTTCATTAGTACATGTATTTGTAATTTGTTTTACTAAGTATAAACTCGGATTTAATGTAAGCAGGAGCTAGGATAGATCGTCCGCATATTGCTTTTTGAATTTCGTGAATATTCGATTCCACAGATAACTTCTGAAGCTTTACAATTCCTATTTTTTAAATCATTTTTAATTGAGCATAAAACGTCTTTGTCCCGTAAGGCTGTTATTTAACAACAAAAAAAATCTGTAAATTGTTCTGTAAATTTCAGTTTTTTTTGCATTTTTGTTAGAAGAACATTGGAACATAATTGGATCGGGAAAGAATACCAAAAAAATACCTCTGATTAAAACCTTACAATTTTAAATTTGAGAAAGTTTCTTTCTGTTTTATAGCCAGATTGATTAAAAGAAATTGCAAAAAATTGTTTAAAATACACAGTATGAAGTTGTTATGCATAAAATTTACGTACCAAAGAGTATTGTTGTTAAAGCTTCAGAACTGGTTGTCAAATCTTGATTTGCGTGTGTGCCTGAAATAAATAAGGATTGTTGTAATTTCAAAATAATAATGACACGTACATGAAAATTAACGGATATACTGTTGAAGTAATGAAAATGATTTACTGCATTTGAAATATAAATCAACAATATTAATGAAAAACTTTTAATGGTACGCCATCAATTATTTCAATTTTATTTCAACTCCCAAACTCTTAGTATATTTTACACCGTTTAAATATTACGTTTTATTAATACCACAGCACTACGAATGTTATATTTTTAGGTGGATTTAACAAAATTAATGTATTGTCAAAGTAACAAATGACACATTTTTTAGTTTTTAGAAGGCATTAAAATTCTATCATTTGAAATCAAATAACATTAAATGAAGAACTAATAGTGGTTTTTATTTTTATAACGCTCTTTCTTTGAGCAAATAACTACCAAATTTTTTTTGTTATAGTCTTCATACTTGTAGTCATATCTTTACTTGTCTGGGCGCCTGAAATTCAAGTAAAATTAAAATAATTTTTGTTAATATAGTGTAAATAAATGACAAAAACTTGTTGGACTAATTCACTAGAGCAATTTCCCCATGATCAAATGAAGCATCAATGAACAACATGATTCAATCAGACTTATTTTGATGTTCATATGTGTTTTAAAGATTAAATCACACTGACCTAAATTTCATGTAGATATTTAAAACGCTAGTTAAAGAATATTATATTTAACTTAATACCGCTTGATTGTGTTAAGAAACGGACAGTTATGTATGAAATTCAAAGGTTTTCCCTTCGAAAATAACGTAAAATTTTTCAAATTATTTTATATTATTTTTCATTTGATATTCATTTCTTCTTATTTTATTTAATAGGGCCATTTATTTTCTGAACATCTGCAATATTAAATAGATGAACCCTTTGACAGGAGTTGGTTCTTACTCAATCTGGTACAAACCACCCTTGCAACATTGGAATCGAAAATAAGTGATTTTAAAGTGTATTTTGCTTGCACCATATAATAGTGTTCTTTAGTCTTTGTAATTTTTTAACTTTTTTGTACAGTTAACTCCGATTTAATGTAAGCAGGAGGATAGATCGTCTGCATATTGCGCTTTTTGAATTTCGTGAATATTCAATTCCACAGACAACTTTTGAAGTTTTATAAGTCCCATTTTTTTTAGACATTTTAAATTGAGTATAAAAACTTTGTCCAGTACGGTTGCTAAAAAACAAAAAAAAGTTTAGTAAATTTCACAGGTTTTGGAATTTTTTGGAAGAACATATGAAATGATATTGGTTCGAAAAAAAGAATATCTCAAAAACACCTCTGATGAAAACCTTACAATTTTAATTAAAGGTAAGACTTTTTGTTTTATAGCAAGATTAGCTACAAGAAATTGTACTAAGTTGTTTAAAATTATACAATATGAAGTTGTTTTGCATAAAATTTTACGTACCAAAGAGTATTGTTGTTAAAGCTTCGGAACTGGTTGTCAAATCTTGACTTGCTTGTGTGCCTGAAATTAAAAACAGGATTGTTGTAATTTCAAAGTAAAAATGACACTACAGGAAAATTAACGGATCTACTGTTGTATTGAAAATGATTTACTGCATTTGAAATATAAATTAACAAAGTTAATGTATAACATTTATTGTAACGCCATCAATTATTTTAATTTTATTTCAACTCTCAAACTTTTAGTATATTCTACACCATTTGAAAATTACGTTTTAAAAATCAAGCCTACACAAGATGTTGTTAATGCCACAGCACTATAAACATTGTCATAACCTTAGGTGAATTTAATGAAATTAATGTAATGTCAAAATAACAAATGACACATTTTTTAATCACAAAGGCATTAAAATTCTATCATTTGAAATCAAATAACATTGAATGAAGAACTAATTGTGGTTTTTAGCTCACCTGAGCCGAAGGCTCAAGTGAGCTTTTCTGATCAAAATTTGTCCGTTGTCTGTCTTCGTCGTTGTCGTTGTTGTCGTCGTTGTTGTTGTAAACTTTTCACATTTTCATCTTCTTCTCAAAAACCACTGAACCAATTTCAACCAATCTTGCTATAAAGTATCCTTGGGTAAAGGGGATTCAAGTTTGTTCAAATGAAGGTCCATGCCCTCTCCCAAGGGGAGATAATTATGAATAAGTGAAAAATTAATGGCATTTTTAAAAAAATGTTCTTCTCAAGAGTCACTGGGCCAGGAAGATGAAACTAATGTGGAATCATCCTCAGGTAGTGTAGATTTAAGTTTGTTCAAATTATGACCCCCGGAGGTAGGTTTGGGCCACAATGGGCGATCAAAGTTTTACATAGGAATATATAGGAAAAATCTTTAAAAATCTTCTTCTCAAGATCCATAGGGACAAAAAAGATGAAACTCATGTGGAATCATCCTCAGGTAGTGTACATTCAAGTTTGTTCAAATCATAACCCCCAGGAGTAGGGTGGGGCCACAATGGCTGATCAAAGTTTTACATAGGAATATGTAGGGAAATCTTTAAAAAATTTCTTCTCAAGTACTGCAAAGCCATGATTAGTGATATTTATATGGAAGCATCCTCAGGTAGTGTACATTCTAGTTTGTTCAAATCATAACCCCCAGGGATGGGGTGGGGCCACAAAGGGGGATCCAAGTTTTAAATTAAAATATATTTTTAAAAATCTTCTAAAGAATAGCAAAGCCATGATTAGTGATACATGTATTTATATGGAAGCATCCTCAGGAAGTGTAGAATTAAATTTGTTCAAATCATGACCCCCAAGGGTACGGAAGTGTCTATGTAAGTTTCACATAGGAAAATAAAGAGAAAAATCCCAATAACAGAAAAGCTATGTTTAGTCATATTGACATGTAAGCATCCTCATGTATTGAAGATTTAAATTTGTTCAAATCATGAGTACACTTTGGGATAGGGAGGAAAACAATGGGGAGTCAAATTCATATTATTACAAAGTAATATAAACAAACAAGATAATAAAAAAAATCTTTTTCTCAAGAACTTTCTAAAGAAGTTAAATGTTTATGCAGTAACATTCTCAAGAAGTATTAGAATTCAATTCCCCCCCCCCCCCCCACCCCCTCAGTAAACTTTTCAATTCTGACCCGATCTGTGCATTTTCCTAGCCGATATGCTCAGGTGAGCGATGTGGCCCCTGGGCCTCTTGTTATTTTCATAACGCCCTTTCTTTGAGTAAATCACTACCAAAATATGTTGTTATAGCCCTAATACTTGTAGTCATATCTTTCTTTACTTGTCTGGGTTTTCGTTAGTAAAGTGTAAATAAATTTCAAAAATTGATTAGATTCATCAGAGCAACTTTCCTTTGATCAAATGAAATATCGATGAAAAAAATATTTTTATCACATTTATTTTGATGTTAATATCTTTTTTAAAAAATTAAAATCACATTGACCTATAATATAATGTAGATATTTAAAACGCAAGTTAAAGAATAATTTATTATATCTAACTTAATACCGTTTGATTGTTTTAAGAAATGAACAGTTATGTATGAACTTCAAAGCTTTCCTCCAAAAAAAAAAAAAAAAAAAAAAAGTTAAATCATTGTTTGGCAATTTCAATTAGTATTCCCCATTTTTTATTTTCTTTTTCTCCTAAATCAATGATATATTCTACCATTTAGGATAAACATATCCACGTGTATATTTAACGTACCTGTTTTTCTAAGGTAATATCGCCAGCCTTTTGTACTTTGTGGTCCAATATCTGCAACCAAGTCCAGTTGAACCAACAATATTTGACAGAATCTTGTTTCTGAGTTAAACAATATAGATTTACACTGAGGGGCCCTCGTGCAATAAGATGCGCATTGTCGAGAACTTCTGTATTTTTGTGTTGATATTATATTTGTTGAGAGGGTAGACCTGTCGTCATACATAGGGTTTCTCGACATAAAGTCGATCAGTATGTCTCCATGTGCAAAAGTTAGTGTAGTGACCAAAAAGAATGACACCCAATCCATTTTTGACATGTGAACATGAATGAAAACTGATTTTGTGTATAAGATTTTGAAGATAAGTACTTTTAAATGCAACGTATAATAACATGCTTGTAATCGTAATTCTATTGGTTGCTTCAGATAAAGGAGGTAGTTCCACTTCCTAGAACATATGCAAACACTTCACGTGAGAGCAAACAGATAAATCTCAATCTGTGAGAGATATAAGTGAATCCTTTGATACGGTTTTCAAAAGGGGTTTTTAGTTTGACATTATAATAACAAGATAAAAGTACTTCAAATGTATAAAAAAAAACCAATGATGTAGTTATAGAGAGCAAAACATCCCAAAAATAAAGTCAGATATTGATTCATCTAAACAAATCACCAAAGGTTATATTATGTTACGAGTTTTCAGCTCAGAAATATTTTACCAACTATAAAAATCGTTCACACGTGCCAGCGATATACATTTTAATATTTTATCAATTATAAAAATCGTTGACACGTGCCAGCTATATATATATTTAAGTGTTATTAGAATTCACTATCTGTTAAAGTCATATTACTTGAAAACTTGTCCAAATTATTTTCTAAGAATGAAAATTTCATAACGTTGACATAACGTTGACACCGTGTCAGTGATGTTAAATATTGATTGATTGTATACTATTTAACGTCCCTCTCCAGAATATTTCACTGATATGGAGACGTCACCATTGCCGGTGAAGGGCTGCAAATTTGGGCCTGTGCTCGGCACTCAGGGCCATTGAGCAGGGAGGGATCTTTATCGTGCCACACCTGCTGTGACACGGGGCCTCGGTTTATACGGTCTCCTCCGAAGGACCGCCCCATTTAGTCACCTTTTACGACAAGCAAGGGGGTACTGAGGACCTATTCTAACCCGGATCCCCACGGGACGTGATGTTAAATATAAACTCAGTGATAAATGTTAAATATAATGACCATAGAATTTCCGAAATGCTGGTTTTAAACAAGGTTATTGAATCCTTCGTAATAATAACTTAAATGACATTAGCCTGTCTCGTTTTTGGTTTAAAAAATCATACTCAGGACATACTCTGAATATCGAATAAATTGGGAGATGTGAGCACCATATGCAGGTGAAAGCATGCAAATAATTACTGCGGACGATAGAACATCATCTCGTTTGTCATACAACTGTAGTTCTTCTTTGACAACATTTATGTAGTTTTTCGGAAACCACGTCTTCCAACAAACTGTTGGAATTCTGCGTTATGAACACTCATTGTTCTCCTTTGTTAGCCGACCTGTATAAATATATATATATATATATATATATATATATATATATATATATATATATATATATATATATATATATATATATATATATATATATATATTTTTTTTTTTTTTTTTAATTCTTTTTTTTTAAGCAGAATTTATTCAAAAGATTCTAGACGAGGAAAAAAAAACATTTGCAGTGACCTTCAACTCGACTTTCAGATAAATCAACGGCGTTTTGGCATTTGACAATAGTTATTTTAAAACTAATATTTCTAATCAAATGTTGACTCGATATAGCCCAGTGAACTTCAAATAAAAAACACCAAAGATTCTACTAAATGGTTTCATATTTGGATATTTTACTGATTACATATGTATAGAATAAAGTCTATTTTTAAAACAACTTAACCGTATGAAAAACGAGATGACTCCAGCAATTTCGTCGTAAAATCCCCTATATGTAGTAAAAGTCAGCTATCACCTGCATATGTTGTTAATGTTCCTCGACTTATTTGCCAGAGCATGCTGTGAGAACAACCAGTTTTTAAACCAAGGCAGGCTACTCACTCATAAATTGATGTTACAGGTATTTCAACAAATTTATTTAAAATCGACATTTTGCAAATTCTGTGTTCTGTATAATGACCTTGTTAGCAAATATAACCTACCATTGGTAAATATTTTGGCTGACTTTTTTCAAACCAACTATTTGATATTGGTTTTTATACTGAATTTGACTAAATGAATATTCCGTCTTATTGATCAATAATAAGGGCCATGGCGGAATGAACCGGGCAACAGAGGACGCCTACTCCTTCTAGGTACCTGGCCCACATCTGAAATTTCCAAAGATCGTTATCTATGTTCTGTTCACAGAAAGACTTTTTAATGAGATCGCTGTTCGTTATTTTCTTATCACGACAAGGAGTACATCGCGGATTGACCGGTCGATAGGGGATGCTTACTCCTTCATTGCACTAGATCCCTCATCTGATGTTTCAGAGTTTCGTGTTTTTTTTCTGTTCCTAATTTGTATCAGAGTTGGCCGGGAAATACTAGTGGTGGGAATTACCAGTGATAAATATAGGTATTTCTTAATTTTTTATTAACTGGGAAATACTGAGAAATTAAAAAAGAATTTCTTCATTAATTTTATCTTATAAGAAATTCAAACATGAAATGAACATAAACAGAAGATTAATAAAAATAAGTTGCAATATTCCATATCTAAAGTGTATTACCACTCTAGATCCCCTACCCATTAGCATTTTTTGGTAGAATATGTTTCCCTGTTTGTATTTTTTAAAAGAACAAAAAGATTTTCTGATTCAAGTCTCTTTTCAGTCTAGTAAAATTATTAGATTTATATATTAATTATAAACCAAAGCCCATAATAATCTGGTTTTAATCCTTCTACAAACAATCATGTTGTTTTACTAACTGACGCTGGACAGTTTCGTGTCTTTGATTTGAGAGAAAATTACCATCAGTACATTGAAAGGTTCCTTCTTTTAGGTTTGATTTTTACCCTATATTCTATACACTTTACAATTTTCTTAGACCCTTCTTAAAGTCATCTACTGAGTATGAGTATGTGCCTCTTTGTTTGGCAACCCTGATTTGTACAGTTGAATGAACTTTTAAGAATGATTACTTTTTGTTATATCTTTATTTTATCATGAATTGCACTGATGTTGAGTGATAAAAATTGAGGCTGGTATTTATATTTTAAGGTCCTATTGATTACTAACTTTGCAATTTTTCACAATCATTTATGGGATCATAAAAAATCTGTGTTTTAAAATATATTTTTAATGGGTTTTTCTTAATAGCTTTTTAATCAATTTTGTGTCTCTTATATGGATATTAATTGCGTTGGAAAGATATAATACCTCGACGTTTTTCTGTCAGTCCCTTTGAAAAGAAAACACAGTCATAAAATGTAAATAGCCTCTATGTAATTAAATAATAATGCTGTTTTAAACATTATTAGGAACACATCAAGTAACAAAGTAATAGAGAGCTATTTCAAAAACTGTCGTAAAATTTAATGGCATTCTCTTAAGTAATGATTTGGAATACTTTATATGTCGATTCATTTCATGTTGTTTTTCAATAAATATTTTTTTAAAAATTTTTATCTCTTTTTTAACTTAACACTTGCGACTAGACAAATTGTCAATAAAATATGTTAATTATATACAAAACTATGTAGATAAAATTTATACAAGAAACATTGTATATTTTAAACAAACATGTGCTATGTTGTGGTGTTCAAGACTTGTAGAATTGTTTAATGTTAAAAAAAAGAATGGAGGCTTGACCAATCGCTAAAGACTAAATTTTGATGGATATTTGAAATTATCTGCAGCAATATACCTTCATCACCTGCACGCGGGGTTTATAGATTCAGTTGATGACCATGTGTATACTGTAAACCAACTTTTATTCACCTCGTCATCGCGAATATTTCTCGCCGCGAACAGGTCCGTAAAGTCTCTAATTTTATTAACAACGGATCCAAAAATGCTTGATCGTGAAAATTAGTCGTCGCGAACTAGTTAACCTCCTTTTAGATCGAGAAATAAAGTCGTCGCAAATAAAAGTTGGTAAACAGTACTTTATTTTTTACCGACATTCAATGCGGAATATTCACCTAATTCATACACGGGGCTCACGGTGAATGTGGCCGGTTAACAGGGGATGTATATTCGTCCTAAATACCTTCTCCCACATAGGGAATTGCCAGGGGGTCCGCATTTTATTCCATCTGAACAGATTTGTATTAATCGTATTTTTTAAATCGATCAAGGTTTGTTATTTTTACAGTTCATTACCAATCGTCCATACATACAAACATCAACTCTACTGTAATCAAAGACTTTAGAATGAGTTGATTCCTACGCCGCTGGTACGAATCCCACTGTGTAACGTGGAGACATCCTGCGGATGAGACCGCGTATAAAACGAGGTTACGTGTGGCAGTAGGTGCTGGCACGAAAATGATTACTCACTGCTCAATGAGTACCAAATATAGGTCAAAATTTGCTGCTCTCCGCCGTCAAATATTGGTGTTTCCACATGAGCAAAAAATTATCGAGAGGGACGTTAAACAACATATAAACAATCAAAATGGCAACATCCTTTTGTTTCTATTGAAAGTTATGGAGATATCGAACAGTATTCAGGATCAAAGGTCCATTAAAAAATACAAAATAGGAGCAGAGTAAATACGAACCTCAAAAAAACATCAGAAGTAGGAGCAGATGCCATGGAGGAGTGAGCATCCCCTGCCCACCGATCACATCCACAGTTTGCTCCTTGTCATGATCGGGAAATGAAAGAAAAATCCTTGGACAACTCAATGTGTAAATAATGGCCTAATATTAGGTAAGAAAAAAGTCAGTCAGCACTTGACTAAATGTTAAATTGTATTTGCTCACGAGGTCATTGTATCGACCATAGAACTTACGAAATGATGTTCTTGCATCATCAACTTGTTTGTCACTTACTTTGTTTTAGAAATTGTTCATTCGTAGAACATGCTCTTCCGTATTGAATCAGCTGAGATATAAACTCTGTATGCAGTTGACAAAGGTATATTGTCGCATAAGTAAGGGAAGTTGCTGAATAAAAAATTTGTGAAGTCATCACGTTTATTATGAAGCTTTGTTGTTAGATACTAGTAACTATTAATGTCTTTTTCTAGTAAAACATTCAAATAAGAAACATATGTTTCACACTGTGGTATC